TGCTCGACAGTACGCCGTGGATCTAGATGACCTACATCGTGAGCTCCGCACTCAACTAGCGGATGCTCAACGGCGGTACCAAGGTCCGGCGGACAAGCGGCGTCTTCCAGCTCCGGATTTCAAGATCGGAGCTCAGGCGTTTGTAAAGGCTCAATTCTTCCGGACCAGGCGCCCCTCCAAGAAGCTCTCCGACAAGTACCTCGGACCGTTCGAAATCATCGCTCAGGCAGGACCATCCTCATTCATTCTTCGACTTCCCGACTCCATGCGATCAGTCCATCCGGTGTTCCACGTCTCTCAACTCGAACCGGCAACTCCGAACACTATTCCGAACCGCGTACAGCCACCTCCGCCCCCAGTCGAAATCGACGGCGAGCTCGAGTACGAGATCGCCGAAATCCTCGACTCCAAGATCGACAGGCGATACCGGAGGTGCCCACTATTCTATGAAGTTCGCTGGTTGGGCTACGAAGGGACTCCGGACGAAAAATCGTGGATCCAGGCTTCGGAACTAACCCATGCTCCGGACTTAGTGGCGGATTTCCACTCGCACTATCCGGAGAAGCCAGGACCACAATACTGATTCGCGTCTTTTTTACTCTGCCTTGCGGCGCAGAGCTTACCGGGCACGAGTCGCTGTGCCACTACAATAAAACGAAAAAGAAAAAATTCTACTCCGACCCACATCTCCGACTACTCCTCGTCCTCGTCCTCGTCCTCGTCCTCATCCTCATCTTCTCCTTCGTCTTCTCCCGTCTTCTCCGACTCCGACTCCGACGTCTCGTCAACCACCATTGCGGAGTCCTCTGGCACCGCGGTCCTCTCCAACACCTCCGCCAGCAACGCCTCCAGACGATCGAACCGGGCGTTCATCCTTACCTCCGCGGCGTCGATAAGCCGTTTGGTGAGACGCGCGGAAACCGCGGTGTCCCTCTCGCGCCTCAACTCCTCCCACTTCCGGTGACCATCCCACATCTCCCCGTACGCCTCCACCTCCTCGTTGGAGGCGGTGTGCACCGCGTCCATCGAACCGAGCCGGCCTGTCTTCGGAGGAGCCGGGATAGAGTCCAATGGACTCTCGAGGAGCGATGACTCCGCGCGGGCGGGCTGCTCCGAGGGTCGAGCCGGAGGTGCTTCTACCCCCGACCGCGCACCAGCCGGAACAACGACCTTGGCGACTTTCAAGTCGCACTTCTTCTTCTTCAGCGCACAGCTCCGGCAGGAGGTGCTCCGGCGCCGACCGACGGGCTCTTCACAGTCGAGGTGTTCCGTCCGGCAGACGGAACACGGCGAGTTGGTGGACTATAAACGGTTAGCTCCGCTAGCTCCGGCGTATTACAGCACTTACCCTCCACAACGAGTCGTCCTGGAGATCGGCCTGCATCTTCGCGGCCGTCTTCAACTTCTTCACGTTCGCCTCGTCGGCGTCGCTCCGGGCCCGCTTCTACAATTCCGACACTCATTAGTTATCTCCGACGGAGATCCGGCAGCCACTCACCTTTCCGGCCGCCTTGGCCGACGGCGCCGCTCCCTCCTCTCCGACTCTCTTCGCTGCCGCCTCCTCAGCCCTCCTCGCCGCTGCCTCTTCCTTGGCCTTTCTCAACTCCTCCGCCCGTCTCCGCTCTTCTTCCGCCTTCTTCTCCGCAGCCGCCGCCTTCGCTCGCTCAGCCTCTTCCATCCGCGCCTTGAGCGCCGCGATCTGAGCGTCGTAGTCTTCGAGGTTTGCGGAGTCCATGGTGGGGGTCGGGTTAAGAGGAGTTATCGACAACTCCCATGAACCCGAGACCTTTTATCCGATCGGCCTCGTGGGCTCGGCCCTAAGAGGGGGATACTGTCACGTGTCGGATCTTGGGCCATAACCGGGCCAAGTACGATAGCTCCGGTCGTTCCGGGTTGTCCGCCATCGGAGTAGCAGCTCCGGTACCGGACCTACATTATCACATGAATAGTCCTCTGGCGACTCAACGTCCCGGTAGTTCTCGAGTCATAACGGATTCAACTCCGACGTTCACGATCGATATGCCTTTAACGGTTTGATATTCCCTTCGGACTTATTCTACCTCCGATTATCAGCTTCGTAACCATATGCTCCGTCCTTACGATTGACAGTTCCACATGGTTCATAGTTCCGATAACTCCTTATTCCACATGGTTCATAGTTCCGATAACTCCCTATCGATACGAGCTCGAACCGTGCCTCGCGTATA